GCAATCCCTGTGCCAGTGGTTGTTCAAGTAATGCTCTGCACCAGCTGAGAACTCCCCAATATCAAGGGAATTCTCAGATGGCTACATGCAGCTGCTTTCCAGCTCCTTTGTGCTGCCACAGCGAGGCCAGGAGACAAATGCACCAAAGAACTGCCCTGCTTCTTTAGCCCTAACTTTAAAGGGAGCCAAATGTAAAATGATGCCCTAATGTCTGTCCATATCTGTATACAGCAGAAATAATAGTTCTAAGGAAGGTGTAAACTGTCCTTGTTCCCTTCAAGAGGGAGTTAACCCTGAAACTCAATGGCACATTCAATGCCAAAATAGTTAATTGCTGTTTTACTACTGATTAAAACACCAAAGAAAGGTGAGGTAGGATCACACCATGAGCGCCACCCAAACTACTATGAGTGGCATCCCAGTTTGACCACCCCAACTGAGCAGACTCTGGGAAGCGTGGGAGTATACCACCTCTTCTATTTTCCAACTTGACTCCCGCTTCAATTTGTCCTCGAACCTTCACTAATGTCAAAAGCTGTCCTCACATCACACAATAAACAAGCATCTCAGGGCTTTGCTTTTATTAAACCCTGACTCAGTCAGCAGCTTATATTCAGACCAGGGATCTCAAAAAGGGACAACTGTGAGAGAACTAGATGCCATTAAAAAAAAATCTAGGAGACTCAACTCCAGCTATGGCAGCTTTGCCTTTTATTTCCTACAAAGAAAGCAAAGACCATAAGCTCTGTGCAAAACTCTGAAAAGCAGAAAGAAATACACCCAAACTTAAGGATAACACACAAGTCAGACAAAAAGCTACCTTAGTAAATATGGCATTCAAAGCCAATTTGGCATCAAATCAAACAGGGGAGGGAGAGACAAGAGCGGCAGGCTGTGTCACACAGAATTTCAGGGAAATCTCACTGCTACCGTTAGTGGAGCTGCCCCAGAGTTAGAGCCATTGTGAGAGATTTCTCTAAAATTCTGAGCATAAACAAAGCCACACAGAGAAACTTCACCACCACAATAGACGCAGGATTAAGCCAAGGGGAACTGTGGCAGACAGAAAATGAATGAATATACCCCTTCAAACAATTTCTTGTCTAGCAAGGATAGTGGCTTTCGGGGACGCCTTTAAACCAACAGTGATATCTGAAAAATCCTTGGGCGACCAAATCTAGCCTTCATACTTAATTTAAAACACGCATGTAAAAAACTGTAATGGAACTCAAGTCCAGGACACTGCGTCCAGGCACACAGTATAGACGGACCAGCACGTCTTAATTGATTGTTTGTCTGCACCAAGAGCCAAAGATCACATGCTAGAACCTACTCCGCTGGTAGAGACAGAAATGAGAGGGCCAGACTGATGGTTTAGCAGCAGCAGTCTGAGTGCTGCTGTACCAAAGAGCCAAGACTATGAAAATGTCATGTACTGAGAGCTGGCAGAGAATTATGCTAATCTTGATTACTGATTAAGTCACAGTGAAGCATCTATAGTGCATGGGAAAGAACAAGGAACCAGTGGGCAAATGAGGCGGGAAGACCCAGAGCAAAGGGAGGACAGGATAGAGACTGAAATAGGGAGATCAGAGCAGCCAAGTGAGGCTGAGATACTGTGGCAGGTGGGGAATGAAGGAGTGAGGCCTAGTGAAGCGGGGACTCTAGAATGGTCAAAAAAATGACAGACTAAAGGAAGAGGTCAGGAATGGCTGAGGAGGGGTCAGAGCAGCAAAGCAAGTTGCTCCTAGAGCAGTGTCAAGGAGCAGGAGTGGATACCTTTATTACATTAATATTAAACACTACTGCAATGGAAGGGAAGAACTAGCTTCTCCTTTTTGTTTGATTTTAAATAAGTGATAAACACAGAATTATCACACACCAGGTCTGCCTTGATTCACAAAGAAAGGAAGATACAGTCATTGCATAACATTTTTACTATCAAACCAGTTGGGTCTCCTTATTTGCTAGGATAGGGTAACTGATTCTTTGCCTATTCAAAGGAGCAGGCGGTGACAGCCACAACATACGCACACTACCAGGGAGCAGTAAGGACCATGTCACATACAACATTGCTTCTCCCAAAATGTGATTTTTATAGTCCTGTTTAACAAATCACACTAGATTCACCAGGGAGCTGGATAAGTGAACTCCCCTTCCTTCCCTCCTCCTTTCTATTCACAATGACATAGACAGCAGTACAGCCTACTACTGATGCCACTAATTAGATGATTAAATACCACTTTAGGTGATATGCTTTCACTGTGAAATTATTATTTTTAAAGGCGATCTATTTGCTTAATCTCATTTTAAACCACAAGATCATAATTTCTTTTTAATTAAATTAAAATTCCTTTTCCTAATTTTGCATGAGCAGAGCAACCATTAAAAGAAACAGCACTGAGGAAACAATGCCTAAATTTCTGCCCTAACTCTCACTGTATGCGTGGTTCTATACAAAGGATCCCATATAATCCTGGACAAAACAGATTTTCTGAGGACAAAGATATCCTTTTCGCCTTTGAAGTAGCTTGGATGAAATATTATACAGCCCACTGAAAGCTTCCACTTTCAAAAGGTAAGTTTATTTGGTATGAATTCAGGACATTTCCAGTGATTTCTCCTTTTCTGAGAGAAATCAAACCACAGAGAAGAACAAATCAAAAGGGTTCCATGTCTTCAATACAGAAATTAGGATATGGACCACCACATGGTATGTTGAAGGGAACGGACTGTGATCTTTCAATCCAGAACTTTAAAAAGGAATCTGTATCCTATTGTTCCACCACAAAACATATTTGTCAGCCGAAGAGTGGAAATAAGCTAACAAAAGAAATATTTTGGTAGTTTACTGGGCAACTGTTTTTATAACCGCTTGCTCAGGTCTGACACTATACTCAAGAACCTCGAACAGCTAAGGAGATTACAATAGAATCTCAGAATTACGAACCCGAGAGTTACGAACTGACCAGTCAACCACACATCTCATTTAGAATCAGAAGTATGTAATCAGGCAGCAGAGACCAAAAAAAAAAAAAGTAAATACAGTACCTTACAGTACTGTGTTAAAAAGACTACTAAAAATAAAAGGAAAGTTTTAAAAAAGATTTGACTACGTAAGGAAATTGTTTCTGTCCTTGTTTCACTTAAATTAAGATGGTTACAGGCAGCATTTTTCTTCTGCACAGTAAAGTTTCAAAGCTGTATTAAGTCAATGTTCAGTTGTAAACTTTTGAAAGAACAACCATAACGTTTTGGTCAGAGTTACGAACATTTCAGGGTTACAAAACCTCCATTCCTGAGGTGTTCGTAACACTAAGGTTCTATTGTGTGTATATATAGTGTATGTGGGGGGGAGGGGAGGGGAGGGATGAGAGAGAGAGTGTGTGTGTGTGTACACGTACACATACCTAAAGGCTGACAAAGTTTTATCAAGTGCTGTATTCTTTTTCAGAATACCTGGAATTACCCAACTATGTCGACAACCACAGATATCCCATTACAGACCATACCAAAACCAGAAGTGTATAGGGCTGGGAAAATCCTGTCTATGCTGCTTGTCATTTCAGTGAGCCAAGGGGAGAAATGGTTTCCTCTCATAGTTGCCAGCCACTCAGAATGCAATGCCTGCCGCAATGTGTCAAGAAAAGCGACAGCAATTCTGTCTCTTTCTCACTTACTGGACTCTCCATGGTATCAAATACTGCAGCCAGAAAGAGATTTAACTAATATCCCCTTGTGAAACAGCTGCTTCACGCTCCAGAAAGCCCTACTTAGTACACCATACATCACAGCCTCATTGGCTCAGCTCTGACACGGAATTACAGAACTGAGCACAGAACAATGAAAGCAAATCAAGATCCTGTAGTCAACATTCAAATTTCAAGCCTGAAGCAGTAGCAACACATCTCCTTTCTTTTTCCTTTTCTTTTTTTTTGGGGGGGTGGGCCACATTCCTATAGCATGCTGGAAAGAATTACTCTGCCCAATTTCAACCTTCAAATCCCAATAATGCATCTATTTAGTAAAGCTGCATCACCACCACCCTCACTATATCTTGTGCATAAGCTCTCATTGAGCTGAGCTACCACATAATCTTATTACCTTCATCTCTCCTTCCTACTGTCTTGCTTCTCCCAGCTATTGGCACATCTAGTTTAGAGCCTGATCCAGTAAACATACATGTGTGTAAGTTTGCTTATGTGACCAGCCCTATTGACTTCAATGAGATTGCTAAAATAAGTGAAGTTACGCATGGGTGTCTTTGGAAGGTGCAACTCACACCTTTGTGGCTAGAGAGAAGTAATAAATAATCATAATTTGTCTTTAGGCAACAGTACCATCAAATTTAATACAAAACAATCAGGGTTCTACAGGTTTTTAAAACATTCTATAGAAGTTAACCAAAAACTAAAGTCCTGCTACCCAACTTCATAGATTGGTTCAAAATATCTGTAAAAAGGATTCTAAACGAATTTCGGTAAAACTCTATTAGTTTAACTCCTACCATTAAATCTGAAAGGACTTTTACATACGGGCGATGTGACCATCTCATCGTTCCCTAAGTTCTATTTCTCCACAGGACCACGCACACAGTATAGCACCTATCTTCTAGTTGGGGAAGTGAGCGAGGCAGCTATCAAGGCCATTTTAAACTCCATTCAGTGGCTCAGACACAGAAATACACCAATGGTAACATAACTTAACTCTCTTTCCTAACACAGATGCCAAGGACGACATTAAGTGGTGCGTCACCTACGTAACAGCAGCCTACACAAGCACCGCACACCAGCAGGCCAGCACAGACACCCGTGCATTTACTCTGAGCAGACCCAAAGACAAGACTTAAGTCATTGTTACAGCATCCACTACACTGAGACCAAGTAGCACTGAATCATCAACTACGAAGCAGACATGACAAGAAATAAGAGGACTGCAGGAACAGTATCTACGGGTGGGGAGAAGGGTTTGCATTCCTAAATTCTGTCTAGATGCCATACCTTGGTAAGCAGTAGCACTCGTTTCTGCAAGCGCCTGACGAGACCTTCATGCTGCTCACGCTTTTTCTTCTCATCCAGTAGCTGGCTCTGGATCCGTAATACCTCTTCCTGTAGCTGCTGCCGAGCCTTCTCTAATATCCGGGCACTAAAGACAGAAGATACCTGTCAGATCTTAATATTACCTCATACCCATGTAGGTCAGAAAAACTTAGCAGAAGTACAAATAGCAATGGAACGTATTATCAGCATTTTTTTCAAAGAGATATAAATGTCCAATGGCCAAGCTTATTGCTTAGCCCCAAAACAATTACATTGCTTTACATGGGTAAATACTTACTCTTCAGCATCAGCATAATAACGGATCTTAGCCCTTTTAAATATTAACTAGCTAGAGAAGTGATTGCCATTAAACCTAATCTGCATTCAAGCATAGCTAATATTTGGTTAGTAATTGTGGAAACTATCCATACTGTGTTCTTGCCAGCAGCCTAGGCTGGCACATAGTTTGTGTCCTGTGACTGGGTAACAGCACTTATTTTGCAACACAGACAGAACTCCCAGACATGCCTGTGTAGCCAATTTCCCCTTCCTCTCAGCTCTCTGTGCAGCAAGACATCCCAAACAGCATTGACCCACATGCTCTTGGGGCTGCTCTGTGCACGTATCCTCTGGGCACTCTATTCCTTGCTGAGGCACTTGATAGCTGTCTATATTTACCCATAATGCATTAGTACAAGCAGTTAGGCATTATAGTAGATGTTGGCAACAAACCTGATTGATTCATGAAAAAAAGTTGCAGGAATAACTCAGCTTTATTCAAACGCAGGCAGAAGAGAGTTTCACAACCAGAGTACAAAAACAGTGTGAACAAGCCCTGAAAATGAAAATTACTGTGTACCAAACACAAAACTTCAAGCAGAGTAAAAGCACCAATACCACGTGTTCTTTATCATTATAAATCAAAAGAAAATAAATGAAATATCCTTCAACAAATAAAATATCACCATTATTCAGGCACTGTTTAGATATGGCAGGAAAAGTGGCACTCCTACATCCTGATTGCCAGAACAATTTATGGTCTTCGGGCATTTTACTGGGAAATTGCCATAAATCCCCAATCAGCGATTTCCCGACCTCTGATCCTTCCCTCTAACAACAAATATGCATTTTAAAACTCTAGATGAATTAAAAGGCTATTTAAAGTTCCAGTTCAATTTGGAACCATTCACAGACCAATTTGATAATCCAGCAGCGTGAAACAGATTCTTCATTTGTGTGTTCAGGTGGGAAGTTCATTAAGAGGGCTTTAAATCTGCATTTGAAAATGACTAATTTAATTACCAGAGTCCCACTATTTCCCTGGTTCTATTTTAATTAATTAGTTACACAAAAAGAAATCGGTGCTCAAGAGCTTCCAAGTTGATGGGACATAGAGTGGTGTCTGCCTCTCACTAACGGGCTGATTCCCTCTTCATCACAAGCTCAGTGCAAATGTCCTAAGTTCTATGGGATTCTAATAGAAATATCAGTATTTTTCCTAGCCAGCGAGGATTCCAGAGGGTAAACAGAGAATTTTTGTTGTGTTCATTTTTTGGATAAATCTACCATTACATGATAGCCCTCTGCGAATGTACAGAAATCTATCTCCATCAAAAAGATATTCCTCAGCTGTCAACATTAGAAAGCCCCATTCCAGTCCTCTAATACTGTGAAACACGAGCAAGAATCCTGTGGGAAAACAGAGTTCCAGTAAGATGTCACAAGGAGGTATGTAAACCCAGATAGAACACATCAGGCTGTTAACCTATGATGAATATCACGTTAACAAAACTATTGTAACCCTCTGGAGACTAAATACACACAAACATTTATTGTCAATCTGGAAAGTTCTACTGTTAAATACCACTTTCACACAAAAAAACCCTCAACCCTTAAATAATAAAATCCTCCCAAGCACATTTCAAATTACATATGATCCGGGGTGAATAACCATGTAAGATCCACCCACTGTCTGACAGGATATAGAAATCCTCTCCTCCATGCTAAATTTACTGGTTAGGTTTAATCTACTGTTCCAGATCTGAGCCCGATGAAGGGTTTGGGTTTTTTTAAATTAAACTGTATGTATATCCCTCAAGGTTTTGATCTCCTTTTATAAATCTTAAGTGCATTGACCGATTGTCATATTTTTTCACTTGATGCTCAGAATGAAAACACATTCCTACCTAGTTTCCTTGTTCGCATTAATAAAAAGTATTTGCAATCCATATACCAGTAGCACTTTAGGGAGAGCACACATATCTAGCTAGCCATGTGTGCTCTTCCTCAATTGCAGTATGGGAGACAAATGAGTAAGCGGAAGAAGAATATAGCAAAGTAAATGGCCACGTGGGCAGATTGTCCATTTCTTCTGCATTCGATAGTGTTAAGAGGGAAATTGAGGTAGGTCTGTTTAGGCTTTCGGTCTCAGGTCAATTGTGCTGGTCAGTTAAAATTTAAGTCCTGGGAAGCTGATTGTCCAAGGGAAAGTAAGTAATGCAATTTCATTCCTCTGGACTGAGTTTTAGTATTCACAGGCTACAACACAATAGGAAATGCAATATTTAAAGTCCTCAGAAGTCTTCCAACACACCGCAATCTGGACTTGCCTAAGCAAAGATTGAGTCATTAAGAACAGACTGGTAATTCTACCAACCAGTACAGCAGTCATAACAGGAACAGATGTCCTCTATAAACCAGGTTGACAATATCAAACTTACCCTCCCCAGGGACACAAATAGGAGTCAAAACCAGGTTTATGGCAACAAACTCCATTATGTCACTACCCCCGGACATTCTTCTATACTGATGACATTTCTGGCTCTTTAATGCCACTCACTTATTCAAACCAAACTAAATTTAAAAAAAAATCAAAATTCCCAAAGTTCCCTAGTTCAGTTAAACTCTGAGTATGCTGGCACTTTCCAAAACCTTTGCAAGTTCAGAGTAAATCTTCTTGGCCTTCACGTGGAAAATTTGTTTCTGTTTATCAGTCCCAATGCTCCTTGCCCCAGCCACTGAATGAACTGCCAGATCTGAGAGTTCTGAACTGCTGAGAATCTCTCCTCATACTTTGCTCTTCCTTTCTACTCTTAAATATAATCTTAATGATAAAACTTCACCTTCAAGACTGTACTTAGCCTTTCAAAGAACAGCAAAGGCAGACAATGAATATAGCAACTAAGATACATTTTAGTAACCTCCTTGAAAATTACAAAAGTAGCTGTCAGCTCTCCTTCAATGAACCATAAAATTATCATTGTTTCTATCACTGAATATTTTCAGTAACCAACCTAACACCCAAAGAATACTGGGAAAACCATCACAGAGGGCAAACAAGAAGCTAGAAATATTGTCCTACACCGCCAATCAGGGAGAAGATCACAGGGCCAGCCACAGTGCACAGTCATCAAAAAAAGGGAACACAGTGTGAGTCCTGCAGCAACTCAGAAGAACATGGTATGGGGACACATTGCCAGGGACAGCAGATAGGAAGGAAAGTGACAAAAACCAGTGCACTGACCACATTGCATACTATGGATGCTAGAAGTACGGTAAAAAACAAAGGGAAAGAAGATGTCAGGGACACGGAAAAAGGAAAATGTAGGAGACAAAGGCACTGCAAGAACTACACAAGCAAAGGTAAACAGGTCACATGCCACACACTAACAAAGTGACGAAAGGAAAGCCAGGTGTGCTGCAGCAATATATTTGCTAGAGGAAAGTTATTCCCCAAATCAGGATCCAGGCTATAAACATCCTTGACAAAGTATCTGTCCATCTATAAATGGCAACAGAAAACAAAGGGACCTAAATTAAACGAGACTGGTAAATAAGAAGGTTTAAGTAAGCTGAAATGTCCCATTCCCTTTCCTGTTTCTCCCCCGTTTTATAAATCAACACTAGAACATGAGAGGCCAAATTGTAGCCCATCAAGATTTCATGTTGCCTACCTGACAACAGAATATTTTTGCCTGTAGCCCACCTGCATGGATCCTATCACATCTGGTCCTCTCCAATGAGACAATGGTTTTGTGTTGAAACAGCTCAGTCTCCAAGTCCAGATACAACAATGCTGCAGTTAAACAATCAGAATATGAATGACCAACACATAGAATAATAGAGACGTGTAAGAGCAACAATGGTGATCAGGTAAGAGAAGGACAAACAAAATGAAAAGGAAGGCTAGAGGAAAAAAGGGCATAAGGAAAAAACCATGAGGCTGAGATCAGTGATACAGAAAATCTTTCCCATGACAAAAAAAATTTCTGTGGTCAGACATTAAGTGCTTCTTTTTTTTTTTTTTTAAATGGGACAATGCCAGTGTCAGGAAACTGCAGAAGCAACAAGGTTGCCCGAATCAACATATCTTAAGGCAGGCCAACTGGAAAACAAACATTTGAAAGGAGACCTTATTTGATATATTAAAACCATTCCAGATTGCATATTTCCTTCAGACCCAAAGATGGGGTTCCAAATTCAGCTTCTTCCATTGACACTATTCTGCTTCCCCTCTTCTCCACACAGCTGCCAATCATCTCTAATGGCGGTGCCCATCACTGTTCTCCACCTGGGAGTTACCATCGCACTGCACACCAATGGAAGGTGGTGAGGCCCATAACTCCACCCCATCTACTGCTCAGCTAGCTTACCTTTGTAAGGGGCAGTAACAATAAAAATTTAAAAATAAGCACCCCTATATAATTGTCAAGCTTTGCTATTATTAGTTGCAAACATCAGTCTGGACTAAGAATCACACTGACAAACATTTTCAAATAAATTTCAGGGAGATTTGTGATGGTGGGTGGGCCAAACTTTCCAGTGTGTAGAGTAGCTATCTGGTCCACGGGGCTGCAGCACCACTCTGGTTTCACCCAGAAAAAAGGTCACTGGGCCATTGTCTGGGTGTCCCCACACACTCTGACTTCACAGCACATTCTGATGTATATGTGTGGCTGACGCATACAACGCTGGGTAACAAAGCAGAATTTTTGAATTTGCCATAAATGGATGCTTGTAGTTATATGAACGTGGAAAATAACATTATTAAATCAGGAGTCAAGAGTTTTTTTGGTTGTAAAGAGGAATCTCCCTGATTTACAGGAG